GAACACAGGGTTTCCAGTTTGGGAATTAAAGAGACCAGGGTTCAAGTCCCAGTCAGTTACTGGCCAGCTCCTTGAACTTATCGATTTGCAACATTGGGGTTTCGGTTTTCCATTTATTTCATCTCAGTCACAGTTTGTACACAGAGACACAGACCTGGCAGTGCTTGCCACATCATTTGTTGCTCTAAGGGCTGAAAGAGTTAAGAGCAAAGTGCTGACATATTGCCTGGTGGGGAGCGAACTCTACGCAAATGTTAAGCCACTATTATTCATCTTCGTATTCACTTCTAATTATTTCCTTAGGAAAAATTCCTAGAAGCAGGATTGCTGGATCAAAAAGAGCGCTTGTCTTCAGGATTTTTTTTAAAATAGTCTGCCAAATTGCCCTCCAGAAACGCCGTGCCAATTCATAGAACTACCAGCTGCACTCAGAAGTGCCCTTAGCCTCCTGTCAACAGTGAATATCTAGGAAGAAAGAAATGAATGAGGAAGAGGGAAGAGAGAGAAGGAGAGGGGAGGGGGAAAGTCCAACCTTGCTAACCACACAGGAGACATTCCCGAACTGTTGTTTAGCTTTCTGGAACAGTCACATGTTTTCCTTTTCCATACTGGTTGTTTGTTTCTCTTCATGTGGATGTCTGATGGCAGGTCTTCTTCCATTTCTTCCATGTTGGGATGTGGGCTGGTGTTTCATTAACTGGACTGCCACCCAATCAAAGCAGTCTGCTCTATTCAGCATGGCCCATTGTTCCTGTGATGGGGTTTGACCTGGGTCTCAAGTTTCTACCATGGTGTTCTAATGATTTCCTGGGGCCTCTGGGTTTGTTCTTCCCAGTGCCGTCTGATCATCCCACCCACCCCAGACCTTGCCATCCTAAGCTGGGCTGATGCCCAGAATGACTGATAAACTAGTGACTAATTTTGCTCTCAATGTTTGTTTGGTGGTGTTTAGAAGACAGCTTGAGTGGCGCATGAGAAATATCCAAGAAGGAAGTCTTGGGATGACACTTGTCATTCCTTGCTAAAAACCACTCATCTCTGGCTCCAAGTTCACATAACTGGCGCAGTGGAGCCAGGCTGTGGTTTTGCACACATGCCTTCCTGAGGTTGCAGTTTGACACCATCTCCTCCCATAGTGTTTAAAAGTCTTATCTTTAATGTGTGCAGTGATAACCTTGGGAAGATTTCAGGTCAGTATGATTTTCTGAATCTCATTTTGTTTTCTAGTCCCAGAGGTGCTTGACACCTGCCAGAGTTTGACATTCTTGGCAACTGCCATTCGGCCTAATGTCTTCCTGGTTCTGCCTTGACCTGTCAAATCCACATCTCTGAGGTATTTGGAATCACCTAGACAACAAGATGATGCAGGGCAGTGTCTTAAAACCTGTCACCTCCACAAGAAGACACACTACTTATTTATATGGAAAAAAGTATTCTTAGAAAAGAAGAAAAAGAAAAAAAACAAACAAAAAGAAAAAAAGAAAAAAAGAGAAAAAAGAAAGAAAAAAGAAAAAGAAGAAAAAAAGGAAAAAAGAAAGAAGAGTGGTGGCAAAAGCCTTTAATCCCAGCACTCAGGACGCAGAGGCAGGTGGAGCTCTGAGTTCGAGACCAGCCTGGTCTATAGAGGGAGTTCCAGGACAGCCAGGGCTACACAAAGAAACCCTGTCTCAAAAAACTAAAAGAAGAATATGACGATGAGGAGGAACAAAAGGCATCATCTAGAAAGTTATTGAACACCAGAGAAAACTTCAAATAAGATAGAGTAACTGAATAAATTAAAAACTACTATGCCTGTAGATGTGAGAAATTGCAATGTTGCTGAAGTTGCATGAGTGGTTGCTAAGACAGCTATTCTAAAAAATATGAGCAAAGGTGAAAATTATCTTTCTTCCAGATATTAAGGAACACTGTGATGTTGTTTAATGTTCTTGGAGCATCTAACATAAAGTCATACCAACCGGACAGAAGGACCACACCCAGCAACAGAGCTAGGTGTATGGAATGGACATTTGTTCTGTGAAGAGGCAGCAAGAGAAACCAGCAGGGAAAATGGATTATGTTAATGGTGTTGGAGAAAGTTGTTCTGAAAGGAAACAAATACAAATGATTTAACAAACAATAAAAACTTAAAGGGAAGTCTTTATGATATTGGTTATGGTGATATCTCTAAATAAGATACAAAAAGTTCAAACCAGGGGACTGGAGAGATGGCTCAGAAGTTAAGAGCACTGGCTGTACTTCCAGCACCCACATGGCAGCTCATAACTGCCTGTAATTCCAGTTTCAGGGGACCCAGCAACTTCACACAGACATACATGCAGGCAAAACATAAGTGCACATGAAATAAAAATAAAGAAATCATTTAAAAAATGTTCAAACCAAGTTGGGTGTGGCAGTGCATGGCCTAGAGGCAGGAAGATCTGGAGTTCCTAAATAACATACTCTCACAAAAACAGAAAAAAGTCCACATCAGAAGGAAATAATTGTTTTCTGCATAGTAAAAGACATCACAAAGTCAACCAGTGGTTGATAGAGAACATTTTAAAAATTTATTATTTATTTATTTTCTATGTGTATGTATATGTGCGTGTGCATGTGTGCATATATGTGCACATATATCATGTGATAGGTGTGTGTGTGTGTCATGGCATGGGTGAGTGTGTGTGTTTGTGTGTGCCATGGCATGGGTGTGGAAGTCAGAGCACAACTCTCAGGAACTGGTTCTTTTCCTGCACCTCCTGGTCCTGGGGACTGAACCAAGGTCATCAGTCTTGGCAGCATGCACTTTTACACACTAGAGCCATCTTGTAACCTATTTTCAACAATAATGGAGGATTAAAATCTATATGATATAGGAAACCTAGCCATCAAGAAAAAAAAATCTGACAAAACCTAATTTACAAAAGCAGGAAACTTATTCAAAGAATAGCAGAAAACTTAAAGAATAGACAACTATATAAAGAAAAGTGTAAATTATTGGGACTCAGAGAAAGAAAAATGAAAACAGAAATGACTTATTACCTAATACTCATCAGATTGGAGAAAAAGAAAAAAGACAGACATCACAGTGATGCCTGAGATGTGGAGAGGAGACTCTAACATCTTATAAATTGGGGTATTGATGAGCTGCCTTAAAGTATTCAGTAAAGACAAATTAATTGTTATCCATTCCTTCTCACATGGGATACAACCTATTACTATATTGTGAAATAACTAGTGTTTTGCAATTAACATTAAGTTGAACTAAACAAAATGAGACACATTGCAAGGCTCTTCATGATTAGTTCATGAAAAAAAATTACCTGTGTGTGTCGGGATCCTTACCAAATGATGATGTAAACATATTTCTTCCTGAAGGTCACAATACAAATTTTGGAAAAAATAATTTGAAAATGACTGCTACCCTTGCCCTCCCAACAGTCCCATTTCTATATAAAAACTCTAGCAAAATTAAAGAGACAGGTATAGACACAGTGAGTTCCAGATCTGCCAGGGCTGTGTAGAGAGCCCCTATCTCAGATAAACAAAGAAACAAAGATACAGGTAAGATGTTCAATGTGCTGTCATTAGTGATAACAAAGTGCTGGCAACACCATTACCCCAGTCTTAAAATAACTTTCAATAGTGAAGAAAAAGTTAAGCAGCAGTTAAAGTGAATACATTAGTTATGTAAATTAATATGGATCTTAAAAATGGTATCATTCGAACAAAAGGCAGCAGAATAAAATATATAGTGCAATAGCACTAGCACACGTGGCATTTAAAAAATGCCTTTTTAGGGCCTTCAAGATGGGTTAGTTGGTAAAATGGTTGTTCTGCAAGCGTGAGGACCTGGTCCCCTGAACACCCTTGGAAAAAGCCCTATGTGATGGAGTGTGTCTGCAATCCTGGCGCAGGAGTGGCCGAGGAAGGCTGATTCTGGAGTTCACTAGCTAACCGTCTCCAGTTGAAACACCTAGCTCCAAGTGCTGTGGGAGACCCTGTCTCAAAAATAAGGCAGAGAGCTGGCAAGATGGCTCAGTGGGTAAAAGCACTTGCTACCAGGTCTGGTGATTCAAGTTTGATTCCTGGGATCTGCAGAGTGGAAGGAGAGAACGGATCCCAGAACATGTCCTCTAGTCCCCACATGTGCCAGGGCCTCACAAACACACCATACACAATAGATAAACAAATATAAATTTTTCAAAAATTAAAAAATAAGGTGGACATTGATGGAAGAAGATACTCAACGTGGAGCTCTGGCCTCCACATGCACTCACCAGCACTTACATGTTCTCTCTCTCTCTCTCTCTCTCTCTCTCTCTCTCTCTCTCTGTCTCTCTCTCCCATGCACCTTTCAAAGTAATATTATATAGTGATTATGGATAGACATATATAAACAGAGGTTTTAGACTTGATTGTCTAAATTCACGAACTTAATAGATGCAGAGTGTGTGTGTCTCTCTCAGTGGTGAGGAATGAAAAGTAGCAAGTCATGGGGTTTCTGATGATAGACAAAAAAAAAAAAAAATTCACAAAGCAAAATGCTAGATTTTGAAAGTGAGCAAGAGAAATAATGTCATCTGCTCCCAGAGAGAGGGGAGGTTGGTTCACATTAGCAGAGGAAATGCGTCATTCCTTATGAAAAGCCTTCGACACACTCATCGAGTTGGGCCCACAGTTGCACTGCTGGGGTAGTCAGCACCCTTGTAGTAAGACTATTTTTAAAAATTTTATGGGGAGAGCAAAAGACTGGGAATAATCTAGGTATCCAATGGTAACAGATACGATAAATAACATGGAATTATTCAATAATCTAAAACAGTGACAGGGAATTGTATTTGCTGTGGGAAAAGGTGGATGATGGAAAAAAGACCAAACATGGGTCATGTGACCCTAGTAGGATGCTGCCATTAAATGTGACCTTGGATGATTGATAGACAAAAGGAAAAGGAAGGGTAGGTGACAATAGTGGAGATAATGTGACATTTCCAGCAATGTTCTCTGGGTAATACGATGGAATGACCTTCTATTTTCCCAACTTTGCCATTCTCTTCATCAAACCCCAGGGGCTGAGAAGGCAGCGGAAAGGGCACCAGGAGAAGTAAGTGTTGAGGCCATCGTCTTTCTGTTCACACTCCTCTGGGTCATCCCTCCTTCACTCTGTGTGTCCCAGACATGGCTCCTAGTCTCTGCAACTTCTCCTCAGTACTCAGTAGTGAAGGTATTAGCCAGAGCAGGCAGCAGGTGCTACAAAGTGGTTATGGGAATAATAGGCACAGGTTAATTGATAGAATGTGGTGGTTAGAAAGAAAATGGCCCCCAAAGGGAGTAGCACTATTAGGAGGTGTGGCCTTGTTGAAGTAGGTATAGCCTTGTTAGAGGAAGAGTGTCACTGTGAGGGCGGGCTTTGAGGTCTCTTTTGCTCAAGCTTCCCCTTGGTGTGACAGTCAGTCAACTTCCTGTTGCCTGCAAGATGTAGGACTCTCAGCTATTCCTCCAGCAACACGTCTGCCTATGTGTTTCCGTGCTCCCCACCATGATGATAATGGACTAAACCTCTGAAACTGTCAGCGAGCCCCCCCAAATTAAACGTTTTCCTTATAAGAGTTGCTGTGGTCATGGTGTCTCTTCACTGCAATAGAAACCCTAACTAAGACAGAGAGGGAGAAAGACTAATACAGGAGAGGGAAGGAGAGAAAGAAATAACACTAAGGATGTTTGAAAAAGCTACAGGGAAACAGTACTTTATAAATATATATATTATATATTAATATATAATATATTAACATATAATACA